CCCTGTTTTCCAGTCGCGAATTCGCTAAGTTCTCGGAAGCGTACGATTTCTTTCACATCACATCAAGTCCGTACTGCCCAAAATCAAACGGGTTAGCTGAGAAAGGAGTTCAAATCACCAAACAAATTCTAAAGAAAACTTCTGAGGCTAAGGAGGACTTCTGGCTTGGTATTCTGGCTTACAGGGCAAGTCCCTTGGAGGACGGTTGCTCTCCCAGAGAGCTGCTTCAAGGACGCTGCTTGCGAACCCTACTTACTGACTTTCGGGAGCAGCCAGCAATGGAGTTGTAGAAACACATGCAGACAAGCATCTATCGTCCACCCCTCTTGCCTTTTCAAAATAGTGATATGACGCACAAAGAAGCGTTCGTGGTCACGAAAGGGCACAGTGATGGCACCAGCAGGGCCGAGGTCGAATTCGTCAAGACGGGAGGCAACAAGATAGTACGGCGAAACCGCCAACATTTGCTGAAGATGGCGGAGTATCTGCACCACGGAACATCAGATGAAGAAATAAGTGATACGTCTGACGAAGAAACAAACAAAGCACGTGAAGCCCCCTCGTCATCACCAAACGTGACACCGCCTTCAGCAAACATGGTACCGCTGGCAGTGAACGTCGTGTCGCCAGCGAGAGCCCCGCGGCAACCTTCGCCAAACTTGACAAGATCGCAGCGGCAAGTTGCCCCACCCGAATGCTTAGGCTACACGAGAAGCTTTCAACAGATGAGCAGGTGACTGCGAAGTGTTTTCTAAGGCAAAATATTTGTTGACGAAAGGGATGTATCATAGCCGCTTGTATGCGCCCTTATCTTTTGTTATGAGCAGTAACGTGCCAGTGTTTCCTTTTTCCACTATCCTTTCCACCCTAACCATCTTGCCCAGTGTGGCTTTAAATATGATGCAATAAAGCGGTATGGGTTTTTTTTTCCTCGGCACGAGCTTGCGTTAGTCACCATGACCGATACCTACGACAAGCCTGAACGCGCAGTTCACGTCAGGAAAGTGGGTGTGGCGGCTCTCGGGCCGGGAAATTTCAGGAGGGATTTATTGCTGGGATACCCTTGGCAAAAAAAAAACAGTGGAATTTGTTCGAAAGTTTAAAGAAAACATAAAAAGACTCCCACTCTCATTCGGGAAAAGTTCATTGCTTGACTTTTTTGGTGTCTGCCACCGGGTGTGTTTTAGCTCCTGACAAGCGTCCGGCAGCTGAGAGCGTGATGTATGTTTGTAGTGTTAACATACAGAGGCAGCGCCACGTCGTACTTGCACAAGCAACGACATAAAACCTTGCAGGTGCAGTAAGCTTCAACAATTTTTCCTTCATGCACTGATCAAAGGAAAGTACAGTTTGTGAATGGTCATGCAGATGAGTTTCAAGACAATCCACGCAACAGAAGCAGCTTTCTCGAAAGCACAAGCGCAGATCTGCGCATCAGGAAGAAAATTGTAAAAGGTTTAATAACTCACAATGTACCACCTCGTAATAGTTAACACACCTATTTTACGTTAGAAAACTGAAAAGAGGTGGGCGCTTCGTGCAGTCTCTGTCTTATTATCGCTCTTAGTATGTCATTTCAACAACCCCACTTTTCTGCCAATGTGCGATGACGACGCGCCAGGCTGGCGACAAAAAAGTAACTTCTACAGAATGTCAAAAAGTTTACTCACTTTCAAACGCACGTCGTACTCCATGCTTTTCATTTGCACGACGCATTTCCAGAAGACTTCCCACAGCCCACCGGCTATATGAAGTTCTCCTCTCACGCAGTACACGTGTAGCTAGCGGAGCACAAATCGCCACGGCGACGGACAATGCTTTGTTTCAAGTACTTCTCGACGTTTGTTGTTTGCCATAACCACAAATTGGTACGCAGGGCCCGTTTAGTGTTTCCAGTTTCCCACACCAACCCTCACCCCGCAGAGCATCGTGTTCCGTGCCACGAGAAAGACAGGGATAAATGCGCAAAATGGCCGCATTGGCACTGCCCCCAGAGTGCTGTGGCGCCCTCAGGGGAGGGCGACAGGCCTATAGGAAGTATCTGAGTTAATGTTGATCTCTTCAAGAATGTGCCATTGCCATGAGATGAATAAAAACTACACGTGTGCGCGGGGCTCACTTTGCCCTGGCTGACCAGGAGGGCGCTTGGCTCATCGTCAAAAGAAAAATATATTACAATAACAACGGTGATATATCATCGCGGGCGAATGCACGATGAGCTCTTACTATATCAACCGACATGCGATGAGCCATAGCTTGAATTGACCCGTTTCACGCGACCGCTTATTTTATCAGCCTAAAAAGTTAATTGTGGTAATTCTATAAGTACTGCCGTATCAGTTATTGTAGGCATGTGAAGATGCCTTGTGACTCGGTAAAGGGAGCGCCACAAATACCTCCTTTTTTGTATTTTGTCAATAATGCAGAACACATTTCTTTAAGGATCCTGTATACTCGTATGCGTATTTAGGCATAGGAGTATAATTCATCGCCATCTGTTGGTATAATAATGAGTGTGGAACAACGTTTTTTTTTGCCTTGCTAGAGTTACGTAATATGTGATCGTATATCGAGTTGGCAGCTGACCAGTATCTGTCGCTTACCACCTCATGGCATCAAGTGCCAAAACGAGATCCACTCTATGAATAGAAAAAGTGTATTATCAAGGGCTCGTTCCGTTTTTTAGGCGCAATAATATTAGAACTAACCGACAACAATGCCAAGGAAAGTATAGGGCGTATTATTAGAAGTAACTGTGGTAAACATATGAAAAAATAACTCGCTCTATAGCAACAGACGGCGCTAACTGAAGCCCTAACTGAAGCCCTCACAGCCGCCGAGGTGGGCTCGGCGGCTGTGCACCAACGCAGACCGCTAATCCTTTCACTCTTGTCATGCAGGTGTTTCAGTGCGCATTCCTGCGCATACTGCTTTCCGTTTTCCTGCCAGCTTCCTTGACCACACCGTTGCAGTATCAACATCGTTCCAGCGAAAGTGGCACGCTTACCTGTCACGCCCTCTTGGTCTTCGACACAGGCTTGTCAACCGCAACGTACTTGGTACCACTGGATTTCACCTCACGCAACAGATCCCTTCCGGCGCCACCGGTCAGCTACATGGTCCTCGACAAAACCTGGTCGACGCTATCAGCATCGGCATCGATGCCTGTGTCGACTACAAAAGAGCGGCCTTTGCCGGCGGCGCTGTGTGGGCTCGGCGGCTGTGCACCAACGCAGACCGCTAATCCTTTCACTCTTGTCATGCAGGTGTTTCAGTGCGCATTCCTGCGCATACTGCTTTCCGTTTTCCTGCCAGCTTCCTTGACCACACCGTTGCAGTATCAACATCGTTCCAGCGAAAGTGGCACGCTTACCTGTCACGCCCTCTTGGTCTTCGACACAGGCTTGTCAACCGCAACGTACTTGGTACCACTGGATTTCACCTCACGCAACAGATCCCTTCCGGCGCCACCGGTCAGCTACATGGTCCTCGACAAAACCTGGTCGACGCTATCAGCATCGGCATCGATGCCTGTGTCGACTACAAAAGAGCGGCCTTTGCCGGCGGCGCTGTGTGGGCTCGGCGGCTGTGCACCAACGCAGACCGCTAATCCTTTCACTCTTGTCATGCAGGTGTTTCAGTGCGCATTCCTGCGCATACTGCTTTCCGTTTTCCTGCCAGCTTCCTTGACCACACCGTTGCAGTATCAACATCGTTCCAGCGAAAGTGGCACGCTTACCTGTCACGCCCTCTTGGTCTTCGACACAGGCTTGTCAACCGCAACGTACTTGGTACCACTGGATTTCACCTCACGCAACAGATCCCTTCCGGCGCCACCGGTCAGCTACATGGTCCTCGACAAAACCTGGTCGACGCTATCAGCATCGGCATCGATGCCTGTGTCGACTACAAAAGAGCGGCCTTTGCCGGCGGCGCTGTGTGGGCTCGGCGGCTGTGCACCAACGCAGACCGCTAATCCTTTCACTCTTGTCATGCAGGTGTTTCAGTGCGCATTCCTGCGCATACTGCTTTCTGTTTTCCTGCCAGCTTCCTTGACCACACCGTTGCAGTATCAACATCGTTCCAGCGAAAGTGGCACGCTTACCTGTCACGCCCTCTTGGTCTTCGACACAGGCTTGTCAACCGCAACGTACTTGGTACCACTGGATTTCACCTCACGCAACAGATCCCTTCCGGCGCCACCGGTCAGCTACATGGTCCTCGACAAAACCTGGTCGACGCTATCAGCATCGGCATCGATGCCTGTGTCGACTACAAAAGAGCGGCCTTTGCCGGCGGCGCTGTGTGGGCTCGGCGGCTGTGCACCAACGCAGACCGCTAATCCTTTCACTCTTGTCATGCAGGTGTTTCAGTGCGCATTCCTGCGCATACTGCTTTCCGTTTTCCTGCCAGCTTCCTTGACCACACCGTTGCAGTATCAACATCGTTCCAGCGAAAGTGGCACGCTTACCTGTCACGCCCTCTTGGTCTTCGACACAGGCTTGTCAACCGCAACGTACTTGGTACCACTGGATTTCACCTCACGCAACAGATCCCTTCCGGCGCCACCGGTCAGCTACATGGTCCTCGACAAAACCTGGTCGACGCTATCAGCATCGGCATCGATGCCTGTGTCGACTACAAAAGAGCGGCCTTTGCCGGCGGCGCTGTGTGGGCTCGGCGGCTGTGCACCAACGCAGACCGCTAATCCTTTCACTCTTGTCATGCAGGTGTTTCAGTGCGCATTCCTGCGCATACTGCTTTCCGTTTTCCTGCCAGCTTCCTTGACCACACCGTTGCAGTATCAACATCGTTCCAGCGAAAGTGGCACGCTTACCTGTCACGCCCTCTTGGTCTTCGACACAGGCTTGTCAACCGCAACGTACTTGGTACCACTGGATTTCACCTCACGCAACAGATCCCTTCCGGCGCCACCGGTCAGCTACATGGTCCTCGACAAAACCTGGTCGACGCTATCAGCATCGGCATCGATGCCTGTGTCGACTACAAAGAGCGGCCTTTGCCGGCGGCGCTGTGTGGGCTCGGCGGCTGTGCACCAACGCAGACCGCTAATCCTTTCACTCTTGTCATGCAGGTGTTTCAGTGCGCATTCCTGCGCATACTGCTTTCCGTTTTCCTGCCAGCTTCCTTGACCACACCGTTGCAGTATCAACATCGTTCCAGCGAAAGTGGCACGCTTACCTGTCACGCCCTCTTGGTCTTCGACACAGGCTTGTCAACCGCAACGTACTTGGTACCACTGGATTTCACCTCACGCAACAGATCCCTTCCGGCGCCACCGGTCAGCTACATGGTCCTCGACAAAACCTGGTCGACGCTATCAGCATCGGCATCGATGCCTGTGTCGACTACAAAAGAGCGGCCTTTGCCGGCGGCGCTGTGTGGGCTCGGCGGCTGTGCACCAACGCAGACCGCTAATCCTTTCACTCTTGTCATGCAGGTGTTTCAGTGCGCATTCCTGCGCATACTGCTTTCCGTTTTCCTGCCAGCTTCCTTGACCACACCGTTGCAGTATCAACATCGTTCCAGCGAAAGTGGCACGCTTACCTGTCACGCCCTCTTGGTCTTCGACACAGGCTTGTCAACCGCAACGTACTTGGTACCACTGGATTTCACCTCACGCAACAGATCCCTTCCGGCGCCACCGGTCAGCTACATGGTCCTCGACAAAACCTGGTCGACGCTATCAGCATCGGCATCGATGCCTGTGTCGACTACAAAAGAGCGGCCTTTGCCGGCGGCGCTGTGTGGGCTCGGCGGCTGTGCACCAACGCAGACCGCTAATCCTTTCACTCTTGTCATGCAGGTTAGTAAAACTTACAGTCTTCTCGCTAAGAAGTCTAGTAATTACCTGCTGTTTCAGCTGCCGAGCCCACACTGCTGCGTTCTTGTTGCACTTGAGTGTTCTCGTGTTATTCGTGCCTTGTTGATGATGTCGGGCGATATTGAAAGCAATCCGGGTCCTGCTTCTAATGCTGTACTAACTGAACTGCAGAAATTGTCTGCCGGTCAGACGGAATTAATCAGTCAGGTACAGGACCTTAAGTCCCATTTGCTATCAACAGATAAATCTATAGCAGATCTCAGTAGACGCATGACTGATCTGGAAGGGCACTGTCAAAATATTATTTCCTTACGTACTGATGTGGAAGCGCTCAGAAGAGACACCGCTCGCGCGAGTGACCTTCTGCGCAAGCTTGAAGCGCGCGTGGATGAAGCCGAGAATCATTCTCGGCGCAATAACCTCATATTTTATGGCCTTCCTGAATCAACTGGATCGGAAGCACTTGTCCAAGTTGAACAACTTGTCATCAAGCACTGCCGTGATCGTCTAGGTATTTCCATCGATCCGAAGGAAATTGAGCGCGCGCATCGTCTGGGTCGCCGCAAGGGTACTAACCACCATCGCCCCATAATAGTTAAATTCGCATTCCATAAAACAAAAGGAGAGATTCTTTCTAATGGACGGAAATTTAAAGGAACCACTTTTAGTGTTGGTGAAGATTTTTCACGTCGTGTGCAAAACGTCCGTCGGCAATTGATTGCCTTTGCTAAAACCAAGTCGCTGCCTTTTTCCATCACGTACAAGACACTGCTAATGGGTCACAAGCGCTACGTCTACGATGAGCAATCGCAAACTGTAAGGGAAGCGTCGTAGCAATTTCCTCGGCGCAAATCTGCCGGGCACACCCCCACACCTCAATCTGGCCTGTCACTTTCGGTAGTCTTTGCTAACGCGCGCAGTTTTTTTCCGAAACGCATAACTTTTTCTGAGCTTGTTTTGTCATCAAGCAGTAACGTATTGGTGATAACCGAGACTTGGCTGACAAATGATATAACCGATGCAGAAGTGCTAGATCACCTACCTGGATTTCAACTTTATCGTAAGGACCGTACAGGCGCACGTGGGGGCGGGGTTCTGATGGCTGTGCACCAACAGTTATCGTGCTCGGTGGCCAGGACCAACTCTCCTGAACTTGAAATTCTTTGGGTCGTTTGCCGTGCTCGCCCTCATACTGTCCTTGTAGGCGTTTGTTATAGGCCCCCGAACAGTGACCCAGATTTCGCATATAAGCTCAACAACAACCTGAGTGACCTTGGGAAACAGTATCCGCAAGCAGAGATACTGCTTTTCGGCGATTTTAATTTCCCTCAAATAGATTGGAGTAGTAGCGTCCCGTCAGCTGTGGGCAGTGAGCCCGCAAGGGACTTCATAGATTTCTGCCTGAATTGCAATCTAACCCAACTTGTATCCCAACCAACGCGCGTTACAGAGAGCAATTCCAGCATCTTAGATCTAATACTAACTAGTCATCAAGAGAGCTTATCATCAATTACATATCTGCGTGCCGTCAGTGACCACAAGGTAATCCATGCGGCCTTTGCGTTTCGACCTGTAATACGCGATCTTGTCACCAAAACAATCCGTCTTTACGACAAGGGCAATTATAGTGCCATCAATAATGAATTGATATCTTTTCTTCCTGATTTCGAGAGAATAAGCCATACACGCTCTGTGGATGAGAATTGGATTATATTTAGAGATAAGTTATCCACTCTTGTCGAGAAATTTATCCCAAAAATAACGTTTACCGCAAACCGAAACAAGCCATGGTTTTCACGTTCACTTCACAAACTAAGAAACAAGAAAAAACGCCTCTTCCGATCAGCCAAACAGTCTAAACTTCTGTCCTTATGGGAAAAATATTACGCCGCGGAAGATGATTATCTTAGAACCATTCGAAACGCCAAGCACGTGTTCTTTCATGAAGAGCTGCCCAAAATGCTTACAACCAGCCCTCGCAAATTCTGGGAGGTGATAAACCCTCAGGAGATGCGCACCGCTAGTCTTTCAAATGCGCATGGCGATATAGTCGACAACAATGAATGCGCGAACCTTTTTAACGAGGCCTTTTTCTCTGTTTTTACGAATGAGAGTTCAGTTCCCGATTTTTCTTCACCTGCGCGCAGCACCGAGTCTATGCCCCCGATTGCATTTTCTACGGACGGCATCATTTCGATTATCGAAAAGATTAAGCTTTCTTCTTCTGCAGGTGTGGATGACATTAATTCAAAACTTCTCATAAATGTTAAACATGTGGTTGCCGCATACCTTACATTGTTATTTTCGCAGTCATTATCATCAAGCATTCTGCCAGCAGACTGGAAAGTAGGCAAGGTCGTTCCAGTCTACAAATCAGGTAACAGAGATTCTCCACTAAATTACCGTCCCATATCCTTAACAAGTATCCCCTGCAAAATCATGGAACATGTCATCTACTCCCATATCATCAACTTCTTGGACTCAATGCACTTTTTTCATCCTTCTCAACACGGGTTCCGAAGGGGTTATTCTTGTGAAACGCAGCTGGCCATTTTCATTCACGACTTACATTCTAACCTTGACTGCAACATTCAGACCGATGCTCTTTTCCTGGATTTCGCCAAAGCATTTGACACTGTCCCTCACAAACGCCTAATTCTTAAATTATCTCTGTTAAATCTAGATCCTAATGTACTTGCATGGATAACATCTTTCCTGACTAATCGTTCCCAATTTGTGTTTGTTAATAATCACTCATCTAACCGACTACCTGTAACCTCAGGTGTCCCGCAAGGGTCTGTGTTAGGGCCTCTACTCTTTTTAATTTACATTAACGACCTACCATTGCATGTATCAAGTAACTTTCGTATGTTTGCCGATGACTGCGTAATCTACCGATCAGTAACCAACATTCATGACCAAACACTAATTCAGCATGATCTTAACAACATACAAACATGGTGTGATCGTTGGTTAATGAACTTAAATCCTAATAAATGTAAGCTTGTTTCTTTTTCTCGCCACCGTAACCCTTTTGAGTTTACCTATTCCATCACTAATGTTCCCATACAATCAGTTCAATCATTCAAATACCTCGGCATCACCTTGGCTCATGACCTGTCTTGGCGTCATCACACTACTAACATCATCTCGTCTGCTAATAAATCACTCGGGTTTCTCAGACGACACTTACGCCATACTCCGCCTCACGTCAAGACGCTTGCATACAAATCATTTATCAGGTCCAAACTCGAGTATGCATCTTCCATCTGGAGCCCTCATCAATCATACATCATAAGTGAACTCGAATCACTTCAAAATCGGGCTACCAGGTTCATTCATTCTGCATATTCGTACGATATCAGCATCTCATCTCTAAAGGCGGAATCAGGTCTAGAAACCCTTGTTTCACGCCGACGGTGTGCCACCCTCTCTCTTTTTCATATGTTTTATTTCAGTTCACTGAATCATCCACCGTACATCACGCCCCCTCCGCACATATCCCATCGCACTGGTCATCCGTTACAAGTCGCATTACCACGTACCCGGACCACTGTATTCCAAGCCTCCTTTTTCGTAAGAGCAGCAAAAGACTGGAATGGCCTTCCTCACGCCATCTGTGCCATCACTAACCCATCTATGTTTGCAGAAGCCATTAAAAACACCGTTGTATAGTTCTCTTTTTTTGTTATGCACCACCCCTTATGTAATACCCCTACAGGGGGTCTTTAAGGAAATAAAAGTGAAGTGAAGTGAAGTGAAGTTTGAATAGACAGATACCCTATAAAGTGGACTGGGAGAAGACTGTCAGCGTACCTCAGTGATAGAACGTCGAACGCGTCATTCATAGATCACAGGTTCACATCCTATCTGGGGCAAGTGATTTTTTATCCACTTTTCAATTTTTACATTTAGACAACGAACATTCTAACATTTTCTATACCTAATTAATGTCTGTTGGTTGTCAGTATTATACAGAAAAAGGCTTTCACAGGTTGTATTGCCTGTTCGATGCCGACATTCACAACTCAGAATGATGTGCTATGTGGTGGAGCACGTGGGGTCAACTGGCGTGTCCTCAACTAAATGCCGCGTAGCGTGAAAAATCACACTCATTCACGCATTATTTATCACAAATTTACAATGTACCGTTTATTTAGCAACAACAATCACAATGACAATTGCACAACAACGTAACACATACAGCATCTTTACAACAAATGGCAGCACAATAGCGCGCGACATCTACATTGGAAGTAAGTGAAAATAAAGTTCTGGAGGTGCAGTGATAAGACCTGACATGTATGGGTAGATAATACAAGAAACAAAATGAAGCATCCGGAGCGAATCGCGTGGCACAACTAATAGAACCTAAGAAATACGCCTGTCAAAGTCATATTCAAGGTATATGATAGCAAGGGTGTCATATAAGCATAATCATGTGACTTGCAAGTAAAAATGCCTTCAACCCGACAATTCACTTTCTTGAGGCTCTTTCGCTATAACGTCGGAGAGACTACGTTATTCAAAGGTGATCGCTCTTTTGACAGAATATTTGTTGCTATTTGCTATTCTCCTAATAATCGTAGCAGCAATCTTAAATGGTCCACGGTAACTGGATACTACCAGCTCCGGCTGGTTTCGGTGCAAATGCTGGCACAGGGGCGGAAGCCGACTTGGAGATGGGTACGACGATTGGGTTGGCGTTAAAAAGGGTGTCGCCGGTCTGGCCAGGTGCCGTTCCCGGTTCGTTGGTATCCACGGTGGCCCGGTATCCGTTAAGGTCAGCCACGTACTCGACACGCCTGAAGAGGCCTGCAGCATCTCTATACCCATACGAGCCCTTCTTTGCATTGCTCGCATCACCTTGTTCTTTGTGGTACAGCTGTGTTCCGTACTCGTCAACGTTCTCGAAACCGAAACTGTATGGTTGTGGCGGCTGTGGTTATCCGCATGCGTAAGATCAAAAAGCAATTAGGCACACCAGAGGGCAAGACGAATAACCTTACGAAAGAATGGTTATAAAGAAACGTGTAATGAAAAGAATATAACCATGAATAAAAGGAGAACGGTTACAGAGAAAAGAACAACTGCCACCAATTATTTGCCAGGAATGGTAGGTGTAATGAATCGAAATAAATGGTAGCCCTGCTGAAAAGGTCTAAAATAACAAAACTCTGGTTGTTTTTTATGGGAAGCCCCTTACGGGTTTTGGGAAACATATTGCGAAGAAAGAAATAAAAGCTAGAATGTTAACCAGTTTCAGGTCAACAAATTGAACTTCCCACCAGGGGGTATACACTACTATACATCACAGGCACAAATTTCTCGCAAATGGTAGAAAAAGTCCTTCTGATGTACACGTAGTATTCTTAAAAATTATCTCCTTGTGCCCTAGGTCAGCGTAAATATTCAAATATTATGTCGCGATCCTTATCTTTTGCTGCATCGCGCAATGGAGAATCGGTATGGGCATGACTCGCTCCGTCATGAAGAGCTGGTGGCTGTACGCTCAGAACAAGGCATTTTGTCACTTCAAGATCTGAAAAAACACTACTTACGTCTACAGGATCCTGCGCGCAGGCACAGACGATGAGGGAGAGACCTAGTAGCTGTATTTCAGAAAACAATGCATATGCTTAGCCTGCAATGTCGACGTTAAAACATTGTTACTTAATAAAATTTAGTAAATGCAAACGATTGCTCCTCTGAACGGCCCTACCAGGATTCTATTGTTCAAGGCACACCCATGCGATTTCGCTTAACTCAATTTTATACACTTCACGCAATGTAACAAAAAAAAAACTGCGCCGTATTATGTTCGTCTGTTATGACTCATGAAATCTCTGAAAGGGGCCAATACCTACAGGCCACGGATTACTCAGCAACCGAAAAGGCACGGCCATCCCGCGCACGGTCGAACGGCGCTCACCTTAACCAAAAATGCAGCGGCGGCGCACGTCGGTGTTGCGGCGGACATTTCTGCAGCGCGGTCGTCGGTTTCTTTCCCGATCTACCTACACTTCCTGCACTGCGGTACGATATGTGTGTGCTTGTGTGCCTCTGCAGTTTTGTGGCCGGCGCTTTTATATGACACAGGCTTCTCTTGGCACGCCATCTGTTTTTGACGCCGCCGTCCCACTTCGAAAGAAGAGCGCGGTGTTTTAGTTTCTTTTCGTCACGTTGTCATTCTTTTTTCCACTATCCGGTGAAGTCAAAGCTTTGATTCTCATTTCTGTTTCCTCCACCTCGCAAGAGCCGCTGTCGCTCTCTTCTCCCTCCGGAAATTCTGTCTGTTTCTTGTGTAGCTTTTTAATTTGCATTCTTCCACGTGGAAAGTGAGAACGCCCAAAGCACACAGTGCCGAGTTGCGCTCCACAATGAAAAGTAACTCTTAGAATAAAAAAAAAATAGATGTGGGTTTACGTCGCTTATTCTTCTCAACAGCATCGTGGCGGCAGTCAGAGGTTCTGTGACGGCTACGCTGCGCTATGCGACGCCTATTGGACCGGAGCAGTGCGCACCAGAAAGGCGCACTTCGCTTTTCGTGCCACAAATATGCGTTGCAAGCCTTCACTGGTACAGCAGTATACAGGAGAAAGCCATTACATTTTTCACCTAATAGCAGCAGACAAAAAGAAAAAAAGCCGAACATCTCAGTTGTCTGCTGAAGCGCACTGTAGCTTTAGTAGCAAATGCAGTCATACGAGGTATTGCCGAATGTTGATTGGTCACCGCTATTACTATCGGGAGTTCTAGCAGAAAACGGATTGGACCAACTATATACGTTCTGATACCATTATCACACGGGTAGCCTTAACCGCTGTCATACCCACCTGCAGTTAGCGGACGTAACCACAGTTACCCCAAATTAGAGAGAGCCGCTAACACATGTTTGCAGTTGTACGCGTTTAGCGAACACGGTTTCAACTTCAGACAGGGGCTGACGTTGGAAATTCAGTGTCATTAATGCCAAATGATTGCACATGCTCAAGAAGTGCGGCATTCAGCACAAAAACATTTCGTTTCCAATGCATAGCTACGCGTTCGAAACGACGCGGTAAAGCTACCGAGATGCGCGTCTTGGTAGCTGCAGCATCGTGAAGGTGGAGGCCTAATTGAAATAGCGAGTCTTCCGTGGCAGTGCTTTTACACATAATTTATACACGTATATAGCTTATCCTCTCGAATATGTATCCATGCCTCTGTCGTCGCAACCGTCCAGTTTACTCGCTTTCGGCTCAATTTTTCTCTGGAAACCAAGTTTCTTGCGTTTGACATAAGGACCGCCATGTTGTCAGCTTACGACGCAAACAGGGCTTGCCTACCTCCGTTTAATAAAATGGTCTTTATGGAATTTCCTGCGATCAGGGTTTTCGTTTGACTAGGTATACCAGCCGTTAGACTGAGGCGACGGCACACTTACTGTCGTTACAATGCCCGTGTGACAAGGGTGTAAGTGTACTACCCAAGTGTAAAATAGTAACAATGGAAAGCAAGAACAGATAACGCATTTGGCTAAAAAACGGTCTCTAGTGATTACACTGTAATGGCTGCTAAATCAAAAAGCATTTTCCGTCAAGCAGGCCTGGTCCTGCAGTCACTGTGGAGATTGCAAGGGAAAACTATGGGCGCCGTTCAGTATTTCCGTCTATATTATGCATTTCACTACATGCCCGAGATAATCTTTCTCTCGATTCGTTGGTGGTGAAGCCTAGCATTGCAGTGACGTTATATATCCAATCGTTCGAGAAAGCATTTCTTATACTGAAGCTTTCAGCCAGCCTTACCTTGATGTCCTAACAGTAATCGTTGTTTTGCCAGCACGTGCTTTTTCTTGCTTTTCTTTCCAAGTGCTAATATAATAAATGGTAGATCGCACGAACAGAGGGAATCGATTATATGTGAAGCACGAATGAGGAAGGTTAAAATGTCACATTGAAATCTGCACAAAGTTACAAGGCGGAGATAATTATCCCGTATATGACTTCCATGTCATGATTATCATGCTTGCGCCTAGCGTTTGTGCTCGTCGTGCATTCACGTCATTTCGCATATACAAAATAAGTTATGTGTGAAACTAGCAAAACGGCCGTTAGCCCACTATGAGCGTAGCACGTAGTAATGATTTACGTGACACGCATGCTGTGATTACCAAGTTTGACCGTGTCATTTATCTTCGTCGTCTGTTTACGTCACATAATACCAAATTCAGTATATGTAAAGCTAGTGAAACGGTGGCGAGTGCATCATGAGCGTGGCATGTAGTCATATTCTTGCATGACACGCATATCACGATAATCATGTTTGCTCAAGTCGTATACCTTCGTCATACACTCACGTCACACAACGCCAAACTTGGTATGAATGAAGCTAGTGAAATGACCGTGAGTGCACAATGAGCGTAGCACGTAGTCATGTTTTACATGACACGCATGTCAGAGAATGTCACGTTTGCGCCAGTCATATACCTTCGTGGACAATTAACGTCATTTAAGAGCAAATATTGTATATATGAAACTAGCGAAACGGGCGCCAGCGCATCATGAGCATGGCATGTAGTTATGTTCCTAAATGACGCGCATTTCATGAGAATCATGTTTCCACTAGTCACGTACGTTCGTCATCCATTTACGTTACGTAACAACAAATTTGGTGTATGTGAAGCCAGCGAAACAACTGCGAGCGCATCGTGAGCGTGGCTTATAGTCATGCTCCTACAAGACACGCATATTATCAATATCACGTTTTCACCAGTCATATATCTTTGTCATCCATTCTTGTCACATAATCCAAATTCGCTATATATGAAGCTAGCGACATGACCACGAGCACATCATGAGCGTGGCATGTAGTCATATTCTTACATGACACGCATGTCTTGATTATTATGTTTGTACCATTGACAAACCTTCATCATTCATTAACGTCATGTAATAACAAGTTCGCTATGTGTAACGCGGGTGAAACGACCGCGAGCGCATCGTGACCGTGGCATGTAGTCACGTTCTTACATGACATGCATGTCATGATTTCTACGTGAAGGCCTGGCACTTATGTTCACCATGCAGTCATGTCATACCATACCAGTCTTGCGATTTTATGTTAAGACTATTGTCACTTGTACTCGTCATGGAGTCATGTTATGGTTTAGCAATTGTGGTATAGATCCTATTATCCAAACGGCCACTGGCGCTAAAGCTGAAAGGTGCATAGATAGATAGATAGATAGATAGATAGATAGATAGATAGATAGATAGATAGATAGATAGATAGATAGATAGATAGAAAGATAGATAGATTCAAGTTCGCCAAAGTTCTCTAAGACTGGCTTCGCATTGAAAACCACGTTTCGCGTGGTTTATTGCATGCCGGCAACGTGTAGAGAAGTTGAGGAAATGTCGTTGCGGCTGCACAATACAGCTGAACTCGCTGAGCACGCAGAGTTCGATTCTTAACCAAAACAATTTAACACAAAACTGCATACTTTAGTTAAGTTTAAACTGATTTAAATTATGTGCGAAACATGTTGGAATCACTTTCAGCACGTTTTGCATTTCAAATAGCCAGAGCTAAGCATGACTAGTGCTCAGCAAACGGGTTTGAGTCTTTCAGGACGTTGAGCGTTCGGCTCTTAACGTCAATTTTAAAGGTGCTATGCAAAAGCCCCTTCAAAGGAGCTTTTAAGGGGAAACACAGAACCAGATCTTGCTGCCTAGTGAAGTGAAAACTGTCGTCTTTGAATTTTTATAACAATCGGTCTGCATTATTAGCTTCACTCATCCGAAAATATTGCTCGTGTTAGATTTATATAATAGCAGTGAAGTGCTGCACGCTATGTATTGCCAATAAAATAGCTCCATCGTTCAGATTCACAGTCGCATTGTAGTGCAGAAGGCTGAGAAGGTCTGTTTACAAAACTCACTCGTTTTTTCCGAGGCCGCGTTGAGATGGCGATGCTGTATTCATTTTCCTGTTTCCAAGTAAAGGCAAATGTGGCCACAAGTCAATTCAAGGCAGGAACTAGGGATCTTGAAGGGTGCTCGATTGCACCATAAGTCCAAAGAAAGCGATGTGTTTCGCTCCTTCAATTGACAAAATGAAGCGAACGGAGGTGGTAACAGCGCGTATTGACGAGAACGGAACACCACAAGCACACACTAGCGCTTTGTCTGTGTTTCATCGTGTCTCTCCGTCCTTGTCCATACACGCTGTTTCCGCGTTGGCATGAACAACCAAGTAGCTTGATATTCGTTATTTCAGTTTCTATTGAAGCGAAGCAAACGTTGTACGGAGATACACAGCTACGTACTGCCGCGCTTGAGGTGTCTGTAATATAGACCGGAATAATTGTTGTCTTATCTAGATGGTGCTGCAGGTACTTGCGTGAGTGACAACATACGTGTCGGCTTGCAAAAAAAATGTTTTTGTATTGGAGGCGCAATATCAGAGTTCGGCTATGTGTTTTGCTACTGGTTATCACAGACACATATTAGAATATGAAGAACCAAGTATTTACGCATGAACGTATATGCACACAAGTCCGAACGACCCTGAAACGGAACACATGACCTGATAAATGGAAAGTAAATGCCATTACCGTTACAGAAGGCAATCAACACCTGCTTGCTTGCTTTCTCAATGGCTTATATAGGTACAAACAGAACACGTAGCGTGTTCTAATGATCCAGGCGGCCGTGGTAGAAAGCGGGTGGTAGCCATGCGACTGCACCTAAAGCTTGTGTACTCGAAGCATCGGCATGTGCGAACCCTTGACTAAAGTGACCACATAATTTGCAGCGTGCCATGCAAGCCAAATTGAATGCCTTATGCTGGAAATTTTATGTTTTCGTCGCTCCGTGCGCCATTTAAAATGGCAAAGGAGCTTTCACAGATGTCGGTGTTTGGTTCAGCTGTCTTCCACCACTTGCCGCATGGCTTTTATTTTTTCAAATCGCGCGAGATTTCAAGAAAAACATCGTGGCAATAAAGAAGAAAGATAAAAAAAAAGTTCAAGATTTGGCTTGGTTTGCCGCCGTTCGTC